CCCCCCCCCGGGTTACCCCAGGCCCTCCTCCCTCCCACTGACACCTAGGTTTGCCCCAAAACCACCCCCAAACCCCCTCCAGGATCACCACAAAAAACTGCCCCCTGAACCCACCCTGGCTCACCCCGATCCCTCCCACATGGTCACCTCAAAGCCCGCCCCGGGCATCTTGGGGTTACCTGGGGTGGGTTCCCTGGAGGACAGTTAGAATGTTTTGGGATCTCATATTTGGGGTTTTCCAGGGATTTAGGGGTAGGGTGGTCCCAAGGTTGGGGTTTCTGCTGTAGGGTTGGAGGGGGTCGAGGGATTTCAGGTGGGTCCCGGGGTGTCATCGGGGTCCTGCTCACGTGACGTCGAAGGCGGATCCCCGGAAGGTGGGCTGCCGGGGGGGCGCAGCCGCAGCCGTGTAGGGAGCGCGGGGGCAGGTGCTGTCCCAGTACCGGTCCCTCTCCAGCGCCGGCACCTCCCCGTACAGCTCGTCCACCGCCAGCATCGACACCTGCCAGCGCCTGGGTGTCACCTGGCAGCCGGGGACTCACCCGGACACCCCTTCCCCATCCCCGACATCTGGGTTCCCCTGCACACGTAGGTCCCCCGTCGCACCCGTGTCCCCCCATCCCGCCTGTCCCCTCACCCCTCGCACCTGGAAGTTACGGTCAATGAGGGTGTTGGTCTCAAAGTCGTCATCGTCCTCCCCAAAGGGGTTGATGAGCTGCTCGGCCACCTGTGGGAGGGCCAGCTGTTCCCAAGTGTCCCTAGGTGTCCCCGGACCCCTGCCTGTAACCACCCTACCCACCTTGAGCCACCCCACGTAGAAGAAGAACTGAAGGAGGGTGAACACAGGCACTCCCAGGTCCAGCTCGTGCCCCGCATAGCCCTGAGCGGGGTCCAGGAACTGCCGCCCGATCAGGCAGGTGAGGAAGAAGGTGTACACGGCAATGGTCACCACCTGGGGGGACACATGTCACCTGGGGGACCCTGGCGGGTCCCCTCCATTGCCCCTCAGGGTCTCCTCAGTGTTCTCTCAATGTCCCCCCATCCCTGTCCCCCCATCCTCATCCCACTGGGTGCCCGCTGTGTCTCCGCAGGGTTTCCCGGTATCCCCGGTGCTCCCTCTCAGTGTTCCCATTGCCCCCAGGACCCCATCCCAGTGTCCCCAGTGCTCCTCCAGTGCCCCCAGTGCACCTCCCAGTG